CCCCAAAACCCCAAAACCCCAAAACCCCAAAACCCCAGGGGATTAAGAAGGTATAGAATGGTAATAGTTCAGTTATTAATTAATATGCCATATATGGTATTGTTTGGTACCTGATGTCTAAAATTTCCCTCTCGAGCCAGAGATAATTTTTCTCATTGAGTCTCAGATGATATTAGCCTCTTGCTTTGAATATTCTTTTTCTTGGTAGTCTCTAATAAAACTTAATAAATTATTAAAATTAAAGAATTTTTGAAAATATGTAAAAAGGTACTGAAACTTTATCCCAAAAATTAATAAAAACTCTTACCACTGAGACTGCCCTGATTCAGAATCTTCACTAAAAATTTCAGATTTTATATCAATAGGAATAGTGAAAATAATATCTGTCCCTTCACCAAACACTGAATCAAGATGAATATTTCCTCCTAGTGCTTCGATATATTTCTTACTGATAGTAAGTCCAATACCTGTCCCATTTGAATTGAAACTCTTAGTATCGCCAACAACTGTGAAGAGTTCAAATAGCTTCTCTTGTTGTTCAGGTTCAATACCAATTCCTGTATCCTTAACACTAAACTCGACGAAGCTTTTGCCCAAATGCTCCCTAATTCTACTCTGAATTGAGATCTTTCCATTAAACGTAAATTTTAATGAATTTGAGATCAAATTCATCAAGATTTGCTTGATCCTACTTCGATCTGAATGAAGAAGCAGACTCCTAGCATCACTAGTCAATTCTAATGATAATGTCAGCTTCTTCTGCTCACACTGTACATAGAAGATATCATATACTTCATTGAGAAGTTCTTCAATGCTGAAAAGTTCTTGGCTAATTTTAAAAGTGCCAACTTCTATCTTTGATAAATTTAGAACATCCTCAATTAGTGCATGAAGAAGCATTGATGAGCTCTTGCCAATATTAAGGAACTTATTGAGAGTCTGGAGGTTCAGATCTATTTCTTCACTTTGAATTCCAGTAAGATTGGAAAGATAAGGCTTAACTGAGTAGTAGATGGTCTTAAAAAGAATGATTCACTATATCAAACGAATTTGTAATTGAATTCAGAGGCGTTCTGAATTCATGAGAAGCACTAGTGAACATTATCTTCTGACATTTGATATTGTTCTTGGCTTCTTCAAGTTTAATGATATCTGTATTATCAATAAAAACATGCATGTAGGACTTAATACCTTCCCATTCAACTGTAAGAGTTTTTACATTATAGATCCTATCACTATTTGACTCTTCGTCCCCTTCAACCTCCATATTTCTTTTACTGGAGTTTGAATTAATCTTGATATCCTTCTCAGACATTGACTCTTTCTCATTCAGAAATTCTTGCTGTTCTTTCAGAAAAGAGGACAGCTCCCTCGGAATACTCTTCCTTGACCTCACTTCCTTAGAATTATCAATAACTGAAATATTAATATCTTCAAGTTCCTCTAAGCTCTTCCTGATCTTCATGAATTTACTAGTGAATTCTTCGTTAGTGAATCCTTTCCCATCAGTTTTAGATGGCCAAACAGCCACTCCAAAAGGAAGGATATTTATAATTTTCTTCATTTCTTGTAGTTGTTTCTTACTGTTTAAGATTTCACAATGCATTGTTCTTATCTTTGCTTGAAGTATATAGCAGGTTATAGCAAACCAGAGACAAGTGAATGATCTCGAAGCAACTTTATCGAAGTCAAAGGGATCATCTAATTTATTATGTTCTCCTTCAACGTGCTCTCCTCCTTGTGCAAAACATATAACATAAAATGTATGAGCTAGCACTCCAAGCTTCCATTTTCTTGGATCCAAAATTATGACTGTAAAACTTATTCAAAACCTTATCTCCCAGCTTTCTTGTTGGTAACACCAACCTTCATCCAAGATTTGTATTAAAGACAAGGCAGTTCCAAGAACAATCATAAGCACAAAATACTTCTGGAAGCTTCCTCTAAACATAAGAAGAATCATAGCTATATTAAACTCCAGCACAAAATTCTTCCCAAAAAAACTCTCATTTCTTCCTAAATCCTTCTGTGCAGTCTCTTCAAGCTCTTCATCTAAACTTCGTTCTGTGTCTTGTTCATCCCCAGAATTTGTGAGTATAACTTTTGGGCAGTTTTTAGGGAGGGTTTTGGATAAAGTAGTGATTCTGTGTTGGCGGAAGGGAGAATGGTGGGGCTGTGAGGGGGTTAAGGGGATTGGTGAGGAGGGAAAGTGGGAGGGAGGTTGAAGGGAAAAGGGAGGTAGTGGGGGTTATAGAAATGGGGGAGTGGTAGGGAAGGGTTTTGTGCAGAAAGAGTTGGAATTGGGGTGAAAGGGGAGTTTTAGAGGGATTTTTACTTATTGTGGATTGATTTGGGAGGGTTTATTGATAAATTTTGGGTCTGGCTTGGCTGGGTTCATATCTATTAAAAATTAGAAATGTTATGGATAATACGGTATTGTTTCTAATTTTTAAAGAGAGTATAGTCTACAATTAGACTAATTGTTTTTTGACATAAAGAAATATAGATTTATTACCCGAAAAAATTAGTCCAGCCAATTTTATTATTTGGAGTTTAACTAAAGAGGTAATAATCTCTTTGAATGTTATCAATATTTTAGAACAGTGAAATGCTTAATTCAGAGCTTGTGAATTATTCAGATTTAGTTTTTACACAAATGAAGAAATAAATGTTTTCTTAATTTCCCATTTTTTAAACAAACATCAGTTACCGAAACAAGAATGATATGTAAAAACTTTAAATTATATCAAAAAAGTAAGTAATTAACTAGCTGTATTCTAAAACTTAAAATAATATTTTCAAATAACTATAATTGCAAGCCTTATTTCTTCGTGATACAAACCCTCAAAACAGCCTATTCTCGTATCAAACTAACCTCAAAAACTCTGCACTATATTTAGACTCTCCTTAAGCCCTTAAAAGTTCTTATTCTACTGAAAATCTCTTAACCCCGAAATCCCCGTACAAAACTTTCTTAACTCTTCAAGCCCAAGCCTTTGCACTGAACTCGATGACTGACTGAGAAGTCAAGCTCTAGTCTTGGCCAAGGCCAAGACTAGAGGAGGTTACAGCTAGTGGTGAGTGAGTGAGCAAGCTGAAGAGGATGGGATTGAAGAGAAGAATGAGGAGGTGGGAAGGCTTACTTAGAAGATTGGAGAATGAGTGTCCTGGCTTCATGTTACTGCACTTAACTTACAAATTTAATATATATCAACTCATCTCCCCATCCACGGGGTTTTGGGGTTTTGGGGTTTTGGGG